ACGCCGCCTGTCTCTGACATGATGGGGCTTATTGACTGTATACCACCGGAAGCATTGAGTTTAGTTCCTCCTCCCCAGCAACCAAGCCTGTTATCAGGAAACCTTGGTACTGTACCACATATGTCCCAACCAGCCCCAGAGATAGAAGACCTTATTGACTTGTCCTGGGAAGACACCCAGCTGGCAGGTGGAGATGGGACCGAGGTCTCTCTACAGGCCCTACAGGGATGCTGTGCAGTCAGCCCAGATCCCCAGCGGCAGTATGTATCCCAGGGAGCAGAAGGTGTTGTCCTTCCTCCCCAGCGGCAGTGTGAGTCCCAGGGAGCCAAAGGTGTTGTCCTTCCCCCACAGCGGCAGTGTGTACCCCAGGGAGCTGAAGGTGCCGTCCTTCCTCCCCAGCGGCAGTGTGTACCCCAGAAAGCAGAGACCGTCTGTCTCGCACCCCAGCCGCAGGACAAAATATTGAAAGGGGAGACAGTTGGTCCCCCTCTCCACCAGCAAAGAGAGTGTCAGGGAGCGGAGCAGGTTACCCCCTCTCCCCAGCGGCAGTCTACAGTTCAGAGAGAGGAGCTTGTTACACCCTCTCTCCAGCGGCAGCTTAGCCCACCAAGGGGAGACAGTAATCTCCACAACAGTGCAGATGGGACAGTGGTCTCTGCACATGCACCACCGGGTGTAGGGACAGTCGGTCCTGTCCCCCAGCAGCAGGACTGTTTAGGCAAAGGGGAGACAGTCTGTCTCCCCCTCCAGCAACCAGGCTCCAACCAGACTACTCCCGTGGTAGTGCTGGCACCAGGACAGAGTACCGCTGGTCTCTGCCCACTCAGCAACCCACCCAGTACGCTTACCAGTCACCCACACAGCCATGGTGAGGCACCTGGACACGGACAAAGTTCTCCCCTACCCAGGTGTAGTAGCCAGTTATTGTGGGTGGGCTGTATTACTGATTGTGTTTTGTGGGTGGGCTACTGGACTAACAAGGGCACTGACCGGCAGGAGGTCAGATACCCTGTTAGTCTGATTGGTAAAGGGGAGAAGTGTGGCGGAACCAACCTCGCCACTATGCACTGGAGAAGCCTGGTTGCCAGCCTCCTGCCATGTGACTATGGCCCCTGGGATGTATTGCCCTTTAAAGACATGATTTGGGCATAATGGATTTGTGTTGTGCTGCTGCTGGCCCTTTTAAGAACCATCTGGGGACATACTGTGGAGTTACTGGGTGGCCACCATTTCCTGTATCAGAAGCACATGGTGAGAACAATGGATGGCGGCCATTTTAACTCACAGACACTGTGTGGACTTTTCAACACGGTGCCATCTCGCCAGTATTTGTTGCACAGAGACATCGTGTGGTGGTTTTGGACTATACAGCAGGGGACACATTATACAGTGATTGTTTTTTATTTAGCCTGTATAGGTTCTGCAGAATCTGCATTAAACTGTATTTTCCAAAGTACTGAACGGATCTGGGTGAATTTTGGATATGTGGTTCACCCAGATCCCCCAATTCCAAGGATATACTTTTTATGGGGTTATTTCATGTTTTGGGGTCCCTGTGATGTGTTTTATGAAACTGTATTTCTCTGGCTGTGATAATTAGATTACCCATTGTGTTCAGTAATCATATCACAGCCAGAGGGGAGGATTTTGTGTGGGAGTGTCTGGGTGTATTGTATGGATTGATTGGCTGTTTTGTAACGCCCTGTGGGCTGTACTATGTTTGTGGATTGGGAATAAAAGAGACTGTATGTGACAGTACAGAGAGTTCCTGTTTTAACCCTCAAAGTGAAGTGTCGTCTCATTATTGGGGGAAGGATTTATTGTATGCTGTTCCAGTTTGACTGCTAGGAGAGTAAACCTATTCATATGGTTCCTATTCAACTGTCTACAGCATTCATATGCTTGAGAGCATTCATATGCTCCTACGGTTCGGTGGTTTTGGTGTCTGCTGCAGTGCTTGGAGTCCTCAGGAAGTGCTAGGAGCATCCTTTAACGGAGGTACCCAGTCGGGGTGCCAGGTGATCCGTTACAGGGCCAAACATAAATGTCATTACAATTATGACCCCCCCTGGAAAAATTCCTGCGGACGCCCATGGTCACACATATCATGTGTCCTTAAGGGGTTAAAGGACCACTATAGGCACCGAGACCACTTCAGCTTAATGAAGGGGTCTTGGTGACAGGTCCATCTAGGATTAACCCTGCCTGCTGTAAACATAACAGTTTCAGAGAAACTGCTATGTTTACATATGGGTTAACCCAGCCTCTAGTGGATGTCTCATTGACAGCCGCTAGAGGCGCTTCCGGGCTTCTCACTGTGATTTTCACTGTGAGAAGACGCCAGCGTCCATTGAGAATGCTTTCCTATGGACTGACTGAATGTGCGCGTGGCTCTTGCCGCGCATGCGCATTCAGCCGATGATGTCCAAAGGAGGAGGAGCGTCCCCAGCTCCTCGGCTCTAGAGAGAGAGGTAAGTGTTTAACCCCCTTCCTCCAACTTCAGCCCGGCGGGAGGGGGCCATGAGGGTGGGGGCACCCTCAGGGCACTATAGTGCCAGGAAAACAGGTTTACTCTCCTAGCAGTCAAACTGGAACAGCATACAATAAATCCTTCCCCCAATAATGAGACGACACTTCACTTTGAGGGTTAAAACAGGAACTCTCTGTACTGTCACATACAGTCTCTTTTATTCCCAATCCACAAACATAGTACAGCCCACAGGGCGTTACAAAACAACCAATCAATCCATACAATACACCCAGACACTCCCACACAAAATCCTCCCCTCTGGCTGTGATATGATTACTGAACACAATGGGTAATCTAATTATCACAGCCAGAGAAATACAATTTCATAAAACACATCACAGGGACCCCAAAACATGCAATAACCCCATAAAAAGTATATCCTTGGAACTGGGGGATCTGGGTGAACCACATATCCAAAATTCACCCAGATCCGTTCAGTACTTTGGAAAATACAGTTTAATGCAGATTCTGCAGAACCTATACAAAAAATGTAGAATTATATATGGGTACCTATATAAGTCTGCAAATGTGAGTACAATTTTAGGTGGGTTAGTACTTTATTATAGAGCTTAGACAAATGATACTGCTCTATTTTGCTTTTATCTGTCCCATCTAATAATACTAGCTAAAAAAAAAAAAAATGTATAAAGTGGAGCAGGTCCTAGGACTCATTTTTGCTGAGACAGGTGCCACTATTGGGGGCCCTAATCCATCATGCTTATTGGTCTCATAAAAGAGCAGCAACTGAATCTTTTGGCCTTTAACCCCTTAAGGACCAAACTTCTGGAATAAAAGGGAATCTTGACATGTCATACATGTCATGTGTCCTTAAGGGGTTAAGCTAACAACAATTACAGATAATATACTCACCCTGTACAAGGAAGCTGACGTTAATTGTGCAAACTGGTGCTGGTGCCAAGACTGATCCTGAAAACTGGGATTCTGAAACCTCTGTGGGTGATCTGAAGTCTCGTTAAGTGCGGCCTAATCTGGCAGTGAGTAGGGTGGACGGCCAGAGCTAACTGTAACAGGCCAGTTCCTTGTAACTACATATTGCTGGCCCTGTTCCCGGCCTTTGGACCGACGGGGGGAAATCACGGTCCACCCTGAAGACTTAGCATTGGCTGATATGGTCAGAGCACCCACCTACACCTAAGATGGCCGCTGAGTTTGCATCAATGTCCATAGAGATAGCAGCTTCACTCAGTGCCTTTGATGACCTGTATGACAGATTCTGGGCCAGACATAGGGAACCTATAATTGACACCGCTTCTCCTCACTTATCTAGGCCGCTGGCTGATATGATCCCCAAGGCTGAGCCACATCTTAATTTATAGTGGCCTGATTGGAGCTACTGCCAATCCTTAACAGAATATCATATATGGCGTTGCTGAAACTGAACCCTGGATGCAGATACTGTTTGGCCTACAATCAATAGGCATTGATTGAGCTATTAGTCTTGGCAACACCGTACAGTGACCTCAAGCATCCCATAGATCCCCAGCTGCCCTTAGTGGCTTTGGTGGAGGAGAGCCAATGAGAAATTACACTCCATATTTTATATTTGGGGAGATGGCTAACACAGTTATTTAACTGGTTTTGTTCACAAATCTATACTCATTTCTTTTTATGTGTGCTGCCTCTACACTGCTGACCTACCAGCTGCTCCACCGTTGTGCTTCTGCCATTATATATCGTGTTACCACACCTATACACAAAACACCTCTCGCATTGTATATACACTCTATTTTTTCATGTGGCCTGCATTGATATTCCTGTATGTGCTTCTGAACTTGCCATTTATTTCATGCAAAGCAATATAAAAAAAAAAGAAGAGGGGGACTGTTGTGGCAAGAACAGTACTGTTAGAAAGTATGGACTTGGCAATCTAAAAATAGTTGGGCACCAATTTTGCTAAAATCGCTGACTAGTGAAAATCTATTTTCTTGCAAGGGAAAACGAGTGGTCTAGCTCCGTTGTTATAGCTTCGGTTGCATCTTTAGTGCCTGTACCAGCTAACTGATTTCCCCTGCCTCATCTTCCAGCTTCTCCTCTTCCTTTAGCAAAGTAGAATATAAATATTAACATATTTAAATTATAGACACACCTATTAATCACTATTTACTGTAAATGAATACACATTGACATTACCTTTTGTGTAGTTTTCCATTTCATTTAGATTGTAGGCTCATTTGAACAGGGCTGTCACCATCATTTGCGCTTGTAAGTCAAACTTGTCTTGCTGCAATTGTGTTTCATGTACCCATGGTAGAGTCGGGCAGAATATGCGGTCTCTATCCTAATTATAATGAGAATATTTTAAAAAAATGTTGCTATACATATTTTATCCTACAGGGGGAGTAACAAATCAGTGAATAATATATCTGTTAGCAGATCATTTAAACCCAGACAACGATTTAGAATCTTTTTTATTTATTTATTTTTTTACAATCTTTTATTTATTTTTTTTGTACAGAATACATTAAGGCATTAAAGAAATACACAGAAAAAAATGTGAATTAGAGGCACACCCAGAACATGCATATCCAAGCAGTAGTGCTGCCATAAAGACCAAAACAGATACAAAATACAGTTAAAGGTACAGCGCACGCACAAACGAAAATACTGTTTTACATTTAACAAGGCTACTTAAAATCACCTATCTTAGCAAAAAAATATTGGGATTCAGTTCCATCATATTGTGTTAAGCCCACCACTGCGTCACCGTACCCAAATATTGGTGGATCCTACACTAATTTTAACATGGGAGATTAACATGATAATAGCATTAAAATTAACGTGCGGCTCTTTCCGCGCATGCGCATTCGGCTCCACTGACGTCGGACAGGGGAGGTCACCAGCACCGAGGGAGCCCGGCGCAGAATTAAGGTAAGTGGATGAAGGGGTTTTAACCCCTTCAGCGCCACGAGAGGGGGACCCTGAGGGTGGGGGCACCCTCACGGCACTATAGTGTCAGGAAAACCTCTTTGTTTTCCTGACACTATAGTGATCCTTTAACCTACCTAATTCTTTATCATAGGACTACGAGTACATACCTCCACGTTGTTCCTCATTAGTATTTTTTTCCCCAGTTTGTTGCTTTGTTTACCAGAGTGGAACATTGCATGACTAGGTATTTAAGATCATATTTTAATATAAAGATATTGCTAGACTGGAGTTTAATCTTACTATTGTCAGTGATGAATGGAGACACGGTGTAGGGTTACTGGCAGAGGGCTTCTTTAGTGGTTTATTGGGTGATAGAACTTGACATAGGGTCACAGGGGAGTCTTTACAATGAATGTGGTCACTGGCCTGGGTTTAGCTTTACTAGCATGGAGGTCCTGATGGTGCATGGTCACTACAGCTTATTGGAATGGTTATGGTTTGACACAAACCAAGGATCCCCCAAAGATACATCCTGGCATCTTGCTAGGCATATTTTAAAGGCAGACTTTACATTTGCATAAAAATGACGATCTCATTCATTGGCTGTGCTCATCAGCTGAAACTGCAGTAGGGTTCTGTTATGCACATAATAATAATTGGATACAAAAATATCTAAGCCCCCCGCAATGACTATTTAAAAGTGAAGTTGATTTACCTTACATCCCGCAGCCTGCTCTTCCCTGTGCTGAAACTCTATGTCCATGGCTGAGATCATCAGTCTGGATGATTTTAACCAAACAAATGCTTTCCATAGGAAATCATCGGCAGGGTAGTGTGCATATCTGGCAAAATGCCTCACTGTGCCATTCAAATGGTCTCTATTCAGTAGATTTCAGCAGAAGCACCCATAGTGGCTGTCTCCCTGACATTCACTACGGGTGCTTCTGCTGAAATCTACTGAATAGAGACCATTTGAATGGCACAGTGCAGCATTTTGCCACAAATGCACATGAGCCTTCCGATGCTTTCCTATGGAAAGCATTTGTTTGGTTGCGACAGGTAGAGGCATTTAAAATCTAGAACACAAACCTTGCTCTTCCTGTAGAACAGCAGTGTTTTTAATTACTGGGTTAAAACTTAATTGAGATGATGTGGTTTGGAAGCCAATAGTGTCCCTTTAAACACAGTTTGACTCTGCTTCTTAGGACATTATCATAGTTTGTCTGAATCCAATCTTATCTATTCCAGAATACATCTTATCACCATCCTTTCAGTTATTTTCGGTAAATGTCATTTTATCACATTTTTTGGGTGTTGTCTTCCATCTCAATATCACGTGGTTATGCCAACTTTCTACAATTAATTCACTGAGCAGAGGCATAATTTAATCAGATTTATATCCCAAGTTCTCACCAGAGTAGACTAAAATCCATATTCCTGCACAAGGTCACCACTATCCAGGCCAGCTTGCAAGTATCAAAGGGGGTTATACAGTCACAAAGACAAAACTTTCAATGTTCAAAGGAAAGGGATACTACAGTAAGAGGAACAGGGACATTATGCATAGCATTACCAAACTACGCAGGAAAAAACTTCAATACTTGAGACAGGATGCAATCAATCAGTTGATAACTGCCTCTAGCCCCCACAGCACTCCTCCAATGCAACTTTCACTATATTATTATACTAATGGAGTATTCCTCTGAAACCGACCTTGTTGTGATGTAAAGTTAGCCTTCCCTGGAATGCATTGTTTACTAACAATGTTGGCCTATAAAACCGTGTTATCCTGATCTCTTAAATAAAGGTTTTTTTTAAAAAAGTTAAATGCAATGGAACTATAGATATCTCCGTTGATGTCACAGACAAAGCAGGTAGGCGTAGAACTGCAGTTATTTTTACCAATCTCTCCAGTTATAGGCAGCTAGTTGCAGATCTAGATTCTATACAATGGTGCTTTGTGTGTGTAATTATACACTGCTACACATTCTGTAAAAACAAAGAATGTCATTGTTTTGAAGCAACATTCTAGCCACCATAACTACCTATGTCCATTGCATATGTCATGGAGCACAGATGTTCTTTGCCATTGCTAGCCATAAAACTGTCCACATAGTGTATGGCCTGAGTAAAATGCTGCCTTCCTTTCATCAGCTTGCCTGTTAAACAGCGTTACGAACTTTGTTGTGTATGTATCTTTTTTGTTTGCCATAATTTTAATGCACTATTTTTATAATAAAATTTTAAAAATAGTGCCACGCATGGAGTGCTCCTTTAAGGGTTAATTTATTACTGGGATGAGAAAAATGGAACTGTTTAGACAAGAAAATCCCAGAGGATATTGTAACATTCACTACTAAAGCTGGAGGACTTCCTGTGGACAGGGTAATGCAGGATGAGATACATTGTGCTCTATCATAGACCCATGCCTTATCAGCCTATGTCAGGACTTATTGTTATATGAGGCTGATGCTCTGAACAGGATGTTATTAACTGCGGCTATATTGCTACTGATTCTAAAGGCAGCTGTCTTTTAAATTGTACATGTCTGTATTGTAACAAGATATTTAAAGCAGACCTTTTGGCATGTGGATCTCACCTTCATCTTCAAATAAGCATTTGTGTAATGATTATGATTGCCAAATCTGACAAAAGCATGGATCAAAACTATTCTGTCTAAAGTGCTACAAATATATTTTTTAATACAAGTGAAAACAGTCTCCTGGCTGCCTTTCATTATGCCTGATGTATATTTTATTTTTGCATAAATGCTTTAAAAAATATATATGTTTTGTATTATTATTTATAAGGCTCCAGCATACTTGACAGCACTGGAAAATAGGTAAATGTGTCATACAAGTTATTGTGACAAAACAAGTTTGACATATATGAAGAAGATGAGGCCTATGCCTGCTCAAAAAGGCTGACTCTCTAATGAAAGAGCGCTGTAATTACATGACACGTAAAGCTGGAAATGCAGTATATCCAGAGGGAGATTGATAATTAGGTGAACTAACAATATAAAGTATGTGAACATAATGCCACATGCACAGAGCATAAGTTGGAACAGGGTTAAAGTAGACAGTGAGGAGGTGTGATGGAGGTGGTGAAGTTTACAGACAGATGTTTTCTGGTTAGTTGGTATGCTTCCCTAAACATATTGTTTGTTATGGATTTTTTTAAAGAACCAGAGACTTGGAAATTCTAATGGCGTGAGGAATGGCATTCCAGAAATATGGAAAATCCTGGAGAACTCACAGAAGAAAGACTTTGTGTTGAGAGTGCAATACTGAATACTGAAGACGTTTTCATAATTAGAATTCTAAAGAATTTTGTAAGTGCATAGACATCAGGGGCGTACCTAGAGCATTTGGCACCCGGGGCGGATCCTGTGCTTGGCACCCCCCCCCAAAAAAAAAAAAAAAAACCTGTAAATTTTTTTAAAGGTTCTCTTTTTTTTTTTTTACAATTTGTAAACTTTGCAAAACCGCTGTCAGCCCCTCCTACAAAACCCTTGTCCTGTCCTGCCCCTCCTACAAAACCTCTGTCCTGTCCCTTCTACAAATCCTGTACTGCCTCGTCTACAAAACCCCCGCAACCCCCTTCCACAAATCCCCTGCTTATCCCCCTTATAAAGACTCCTGTCCCAATACAAAACCCCCGCCCCCTTCTACAAAATCCCTGCAGCCCCACACACACATTTACAGGCAGACAGTCACACACTCAGTTACAGACAGACAGTCACACACTCAGTTACAGGCAGACAGTCACATACAGTCACAGGCAGACAGTCACACATACACATTTCCTCCGTGCGGCCAGTTTATCAGCTGTTTGCTTGTGTGAGCTGTACACGGCACCCTAACTACCATGGGACACTGTGCGGCCACAGCTCACACAGCCCCCTCCAGCCAGGGCCGGTGCAAGGATTTTTGCCGCCCTAGGCAAAAGTAAAGTTTGCCGCCTCCCCCATGTGACATCACAATGCCCCACCCATATGATTTGCCATGTTAACTAACGCCAGTGCTGCAGTGCCGCCGTGTTTACATTAAAAGGCTTGCAGGGACAGGCTATAGACACCAGAACCACTACATTAAGCTGAAGTGGTTCTGGGGACTATAGTGTTTCTTTAATGTGAGGTAAATTAGAGCTTAGTGCCAAGAATAATATACTAGATTGCCTACTTACAACCAGATGAGGATGATGATGGGCTCTAGCTGCAGTCTGGCTCCACTGGTCTGGTGTAGAACAGGCTCTCTGGAGGCGGTTTGTAACTGTGGTCACAAAAATCAATGTTCTGGGAGAACGGGAAGCAGCTCCATTTTTTGGGGGTCCTTTACACAGCTCAAGGTCTGGGTCCCAGGGTCCACCTTCATGTTCCACCAATGAGTTTGTTCACAGGGGGTGGAGTGTGTAGGGGATGTCCTGATATGTGTGTAAGGAATGCATTGTGTGAAATTGTGTTTGTATGTGTAAGGGCTGCAAGGTGTGTTTCTGTGTATGTATGGGATGCATTGAATGTGTGTAAGGGGTGCATTGAGTGTGTGTAATGAATGCATTGTGTGTTTCTGTGTGTGTAAGGGATGCATTGTGTGTAACGGTTGCATTGCTTGTGTATGTGTGTCTGTGTGTGTAATGCATTGTGTGTTTTTCTGTGTGCAAGGGGTGCATTGTGTGTATGTGATGAATGTCAATCTCTCCTCCTGCTCCAATTTCCTTCTCCTCCTCCCAATTTCTCTTTCTCACCCCCCTCCTAATTTCTCTTTCCCCCCTCCTAATATCTCTTCCCCCCTCCTAATTTCAATTTCTCTCCCCCCCTTCTAATTTCAATTTCTCTCCCCCTCCTAATTTCAATTTCTCTCCCCCCCTAATTTCTCTTTCCCTCCTCCTAATATCTCTCCCTCCTCCTAATTTCTCTTCCCCCCCCTCCTAATTTCAATTTCTCTCCCCCCCAATTTCTCTTTCCTCCCTCCTAATTTCTCTTCCCCCCTCCTAATTTCTCTCACCCCCCTCCTTTCTCACCCCCCTCCTTTCTCTTTCTCACCCCCCTCCTTTCTCTTTCTCACCTCCTTTCTCACCCCCCCTTTCTCCTCTTTCTCACCCCCCTCCTTTCTCACCCCCCCTTTCTCTCTTTCTCACCTCTCTCCCACACCCTTTCTCCTCTTTCACCCCCTCTCATGCACCCCCCCCTCTCCTCTTTTTTCACCCCCCCTCTCTCCTGCTTTCTCCCCTCCTTTCTCACCCTCCCTTTCTCTACCCCCTCCTTTCTCACACCCCCCTTTCTCCTCTCTTTCTCACCCCCTCTCTCACCCCCTTTCTCCTCTTTCAACCCCCCTCTTTCCTTTTCACCCCCCTCTCTCCTCTTTTCACCCCCTTTCTCCTCTTTTTCACCCCTTTCTCTCCTCTTTCACCCCCCCCTTCTCCTCTTTCACCCCCCCTCCTTTTTCTCACCCCCCTCTCCTTTTACTCACCCCCTCCCCCTACCTCCCTGTAGCGTGGCCGAGCACAGTATAGTCCGCGGGTACAGGAGACAGCTGCTCTCTGTACCCGCGGACTATCAATGCTGCAGTGAGGGAGCTGACAGGAGCGCTCCCTCCTGTCAGCCTCTCCTCAGGCTGCGCCCGGGCGGTGCGGTCCGCCCTCATGGACGCACCGCCCGGGCAAAGCTGCAGCCGCCTGAGGCTCTGGTCATGGCACCCCCCACCCTGCTGGCACCCGGGGCGGACCGCCCCCTCCGCCCCCCCTTAGTACGCCACTGATAGACATACCAGGTTCATTTTAACAGCTTAAAGGACCACTATAGTCACCTAGACCACTTCAGCTTAATGAAGTGGTCTGAGTGCCAGGTCCCCCAGGTTTTAACCCTGCAGCTGTAAACATAGCAGTTTCAGAGAAACTGCTATGTTTACATTGCAGGGTTAATCCAGCCTCTAGTGACTGTCTTCCTGACAGCCGCTAGAGGTGCTTCCGCAACGCTCAATGTGAAAATCTCATTAAGCATGCAGATCGTCCACAGGAAAGCATTGAGTAATGCTTTCTTAGGGGCGGTTTGAATGCGCTCACGGCTCTGGACGCACATGCGCATTCGGCTTCACTCAGGAGCTGAAGTCGGAGGGGGAGGAGAGGTCACCAGCGCCGAGGTAGCCCAGTGCTGGCTTAAGGTAAGTGGCTGAAGGAGTTTTAACCCCTTCAGCCCAGCGGGAGGGGGGCCCTGAGGGTGGGGGGGACCTAAGGACTATATAGTGCCAGCGGACCTGGGAGATGAGCAGTGTAAGTCACGCCCCCTCCTCCTGACATCATCAGGAGAGGCCGGCTGCCTTCTCTGGCTGCAGGGAGAGAGAGGTAAGTTGAAAACTCCGAGTCCCCAGCCAGAGGCAGGGGATTTGGATTTTTGAGCTCCCCTTCTCTTGCGCCCTACGGCGACCTCTTGTGCTGCCTTATGGACGCGCCAGCCCTGCTCCTGGCACCACAACCAGTGGTGTATCCTGGTTTTGTGCTGCCCTAGGCAGGACAAAACTCAGGCACCCCCCTCCCCCCGCGCCACCCCCACCAACCCTTCCCCCGCCCCACCTTCTAAATACACACACACACACACACACACACAGTCAGACACATACACACAGTCAGACACATACACACACACACACAGTCAGACACACACACACACAGACACAAACAGTCATACACACACACACATACACAGACACAGTCAGGCACAAACACACACAGTCACACACACACAGTCAGACACAAACACACACACACAGTCAGACACATACACACTTACAAACACACACAGACACAAACACACACACACACAGTCAGACACAAACACAAACAAACACACACACACACACACAGTCAGACACACACACAGATTAACTTTTTTTTTAAATTTAAATCCCCCGCCCCCAACCTCCTTACCTTTGGGAGTGCTGGGGGGGGGAGGTCTCTCTCTCCCTGGTGGTCCAGTGGCTGCCGGGCGGGCGGCTGGCGAGGGAGCACTTCCTATGAGCTGTCTGCTCAGCTCCCTCGCGCACCGGCTGCAGAGTGAGACTGGGAGCCGGAAGATGACGTCATCTTCCGGCTCCCAGCCTCACTGTGCGGCGCGCGAGGGAGCTGAGCAGACAGCTCATAGGAAGTGCTCCCTCGCCAGCCGCCCGACCGCCTGGGATGTCAGTTAGCCGCAAGGCTAACTAGGCATTTGCCCTGGGCATTTGGGGGGCGGCGTTTTTTGCCGCCCCCTGAAAAATGCCGCCCAAGGCAAATGCCTTGTTTGCCTCGTGGCTAATACGTCCCTGACCACAACCACTGCAGTACGCTGTCACTCATAGGAAATTATGCAGTCTATAATACCTGGAGATTCTGACGTTTTGACCTAGAGAGCTTGGCAAACTGATTTCTTTTTTATTACAAAAAGCACAGATCTGCCTTTATCTGCACCTTTTGTCATCCACACTTCTAACACATTACATTCCATATTCAATTTATGGCCTATTTGGTTCTACTCACAGTTAACAAGGCGATTCTGTGTTTTCTTTACATGGAATCCCCACTTTCTTTTTGCATGAGGCATCAATGTTTTAGAAGTCCATTAATTTTTGCATGCAAATGCTCCATAAACTTGATATGCAATGATCAGCCACAACATTAACACCACTGACAGGTGAAGTGAATAACATTAATTATATTGTTACCATAGCACCTATCTAGGGGTGGGATATATTAGGCAGCAAGTAAACAGTCAGTTTGTGGAATTTTATGTGTTGGAAGCAGGAAAAATGGACAAGCGAAAAGATCTAAGTGAAAAGGCCAAATCGTGATGGCTAGAGATGTGTCAGAGAATCTCCAAACTGGCAACTCTTGTTAGGTGTTCCCGGTATGTAGTGGTTACTACCTACCAGAAGTGGTGCAACAAAGGACATATTTGTGTTCAGTGATGTCTCAAGTGTACAATATATCCCCCATGTATGAGTTTTATGGGATTTTAGAAAGTTACAGGGTCAAATATAGGGCTTGGTTTTACACATTAAAATTGTCAGATTGGTTTGCTGGGTCTATGTTGCCTTTGAAACCAGATAGCAGCCCAGAAATGTGAATTACCTCCATTATGGCATACAATGTGCAAACGTAGACAACCCAGGGTATTCAAAATGGGGTATGGCCAGTCTTGTGGTATCCACTTAGACACAAACCCTGGCCAAAGATAGTTTTAATATTTGTTTTTTGCATTTTAAACAAGTCGGTTGAAGTGTGCCGAAAACAGACGTATGCGGTAGGCCTGTAATAAAGAAGGGCCACCTTAGTTATAAAATAACAAATGAAATCGAGTTGAGGGAGTGGTGGGTGGAGCCTGCCGAACGTCAGAACCCACGGTGATGCAGGTAAAGGGGGGAGGTGCTTAAATAGGATCAAAACGCCCCTCCCACAACTCCAGGCAAGCCTTTACATTTGTGTTCGGTGCTATTCTTGTAACGTAAACGTATGTATAGCATGGTGTAAATTATAGATATGAACAAGTCGGTTGAAGTGTGCTGAAACGGACGTATGCGGTAGGCCTGTAATAAAGAGGGCAAAAATTTGCAGTGTCTTGCAAAAGAACATATTTATTACATATTAAAATTACCTCAAGATGACAGTTTAACAAAGGCAGGTTGAGGTTGAGATTGAGGTATATACAAAGCAAACGCTGAGGACTTCCAGCGACCCAAAGACTTAATTATATGCACTGGAATATTTTGACTAGAGGCTGTGGAGGCTGCCCCTATCTGAAAGGAATGGCCAGAAAAATTGCTAGCGTTCAGACCTAGTCTGGTCAGTAACATGCGAACGTATTGCATGAATTTAGCTTTGTGTAGGACTAGCAATGGAATGTCAGACTGAGGGGTTAATGATTGAAGATATGTATCTAGTACTTTTACCGGGCACCATTTGTTTGCAGTAGGATAATATGTAATATGCACTACTTTGCCCAGCTGACTTGTTTACGTAACGGGTAGTGACAAGATCTAGTGATCTTGTCGTTTAACGAGATAGGACCATTTGAGGCAATCTCGTGCGTATTTGTTACCATGTATGGTAAACTCGCAAGGTCTAAGAAAACCGTTATACACCAAGTAAATGGCTGTTTTGATTACCAGATTTGTAGTGTGTTCAAATGGGGCAGTATCCAACAAGTCAGACATGTCTTTAAATAACTGTTTATGTACTGGTAATCTTGTGGTCGGAGGAGTGGTTCTGGTTTTCTGTATGCCTTTGAGAATGTTTTTAATGGGGTAAGATTATAAAAAACTAGGGTTATCTGGGTATAAGGTATACATGTGGTGTTGGATGCCGGTTAAATATAATTTGATGGTGTTGTGTGACAGTTTGAGTTTTAGATGACAAAATGAAGCAAAAGCTACCAGCATGGAAATGGTAAAAAACTGAACCAAGTTATGTTCTAACATAAACCTCTTATACAGTTTGAAGGCTCTATTGTAGGACCGTTTAGTGTTTTTGGACAAGGCTAAACTAGCCAAGGTGAGGCTGTGCCTTGCCAATTCTTTTAGTCCATTACCAGATCCTGAAAACACGGTGTTGCAGTGGCTGTTGGGGAGGCCATGGTTAACGTGTCTCTGAAGGCCTGGAATTCAAAGCAAGACAATTTGTCAGCTGCAGTATTAAAGATTCCTGGTACATGACAACATACCAAATAAAAGTGTTACAGGCAGCCAGCCAGGTCAGTCTTCTCATG